TACATAATGACATCTGTATAGTATTCGTTAACAATGAGCCCACCGTTTTTAGTGCGCCGTGTCCGACTTTGTCCACTGACGCCTCTAGCAAGTTTCACGGCCGCCAGACAGGTAACAATCCAGGGTTAGACTCTGAAGTCGGGTGTGGCAGGGCACACATGGTCAGAGGGCGATCATCGACCAGCATGGAATGAGACAACCGTCATCAACACAGAGTAACACGGGGAAGGAGGAATGGTCCAGGATGCACCACTCATGACATTGGCTTACAATACGTCAGTGAGGCAAGCGTAGACACCCAAGCGCCCAGTATAGCTCCCAGTTAAGCGGAAAGTCTCCAAACGTCCAAGAGATGAATGACACTTAACTCTAAACACCGACAGATTTTCCCTCCTGGTTAGCTTAGTTGATAAAGCGCTGGAATCGTAATCAAAAGAACCGGTTCCAACCCCGGAAATTTCAAGGGGAGAGTTCAGGTTCCGGAGCGTATGGCTAAAAGGCAAACACCATCCAGTACCCTCTCGGGACTCAGTAACAAACCGACGACGCTAGGCCGAACAATTACTTCATATAAATTCATCACATCTAACGTGCCGGCGTAAGATTTGGTTTTACCGTTTAACAGTCTCATTGAACCCGATTTTTATTAAACCCCATTCGCTTTACTCTGACTCAGAACGTATTCCAGTCAAACAGCCATGCACAAGGCCAGCTGGAGGACTTGACAAAATGTCACGTAGGAGACATGGTGGGTTAAAACAATCGCTGCCATAATAGCACTTCGAAAATGAGGACCAACGCGTGGTTTGCAGCGTGTGAACACTCCATCCAATACAAACTGTCGGCTTGCAACAACATTTTGTCATTTGAGCCCCACCGCATTGAAGGATCGCGGCCTTCGCCGTTGCACGTGCGCGTTCCGGGCAAAATAATGACGTCACAAACCCACAGTTGATCGTCGCCATGACCGGCTCGATCACCTAGAAGACAAATACGGGGCGCAGGGGCGGGTGACCGCGTCGGTTAGGATCACCGCGTGGCGCCAAAATCGCCCGCTGCACAACGCCGCTACCGCCGGCGCCGCCGGCCCCCCTACTCGGGCGCCGGACAAAAGACAGGTGGTGCCGAATTAGCGCCCGAATGCCGCCTGTCGCCCGGCCAGGAGCGCCGCGCGCGCCGTCACGTGATCAGATCCAGCGGTGACGTCACGACGACTCTGCGGGGAGGCGTCGCGCGCGAAATCTGGGCCCTGGGCTATCTGATCAACTTTGCCGGTCCACGGGCGTGCAGGGGACAGCACAGCTAAACGAACGGACAAGCGCTGGGCATGCGGTGCCAAAACCACGGCCACAACTGTGCGGTCGCGCTGCACGCCCAGCCTTGGTAACACGCGTTTTGGAAACATGCTTTCCTTTAGGCGCCAGTTTTAAATCTACGTTTCTCTGAAATGATCATGTTCAGGGCGCCAGTTTTTAACTTACGTCTCTCACAAATGGTCATATTCAAAGCCACGTATTGAAACATGGTGTAGAATGAACAATAGAAAGAGAGGCTAGTTGCGTAGATTTACCCTCTTACATTGTGCGATTAATGCACTGAATGACATATACAGCATTTGCCCTCAATTAAATGCAGCATGACCTGCGGATTTCGGTGCCACTTGGCCCAGCTCCGGCACCACGCCGCGGGGTCAGGTTCCACAAGGTGTGCGAGTGAACCGGTCACCCCTTTTGGTGCGTCATGCCCTGGCTTAGTCACACTCAGGACATTACCGTGGGGTCAGGCTCCACAAGGTGTGCGAGTGAACCGGTCAGCCCTTTTGGTGCGTCATGCCCTGGCTTAGTCACACTCAGGACATTACCCGTGGGGTCAGGCTCCACAAGGTGTGCGAGTGAACCGGTCAGCCCTTTTTGGTGCGTCATGCCCTGGCTTAGTCACACTCAGGGACATTACCGTGGGGTCAGGCTCCACAAGGTGTGCGAGTGAACCGGTCAGCCCTTTTGGTGCGTCATGCCCTGGCTTAGTCACACTCAGGACATTACCGTGGGGTCAGGCTCCACAAGGTGTGGCGAGTGAACCGGTCAGCCCTTTTGGTGCGTCATGCCCTGGCTTAGTCACACTCAGGACATTACCGTGGGGTCAGGCTCCACAAGGTGTGCGAGTGAACCGGTCAGCCCTTTTAGTGCCGTCATGCCCTGGCTTAGTCACACTCAGGACATTACCGCGGGGTCAGGCTCCACAAGGTGTGCGAGTGAACCGGTCAGTCCTTTTAGTGCGTCATGCCCTGGCTTAGTCACACTCAGGACATTACCGCGGGGTCAGGCTCCACAAGGTGGCGAGTGAACCGGTCAGCACTTCTTAGTGTGTCATGCCCTGGCTTAGTCACACTCAGGACATTACCGTGGGGTCAGGCTCCACAAGGTGTGCGAGTGAACCGGTCAGCCCTTTTAGTGCGTCATGCCCTGGCTTAGTCACACTCAGGACATTACCGTGGGGTCAGGGCTCCACAAGGTGTGCGAGTGAACCGGTCAGCCCTTTTAGGTGCGTCATGCCCTGGCTTAGTCACACTCAGGACATTACCGTGGGGTCAGGCTCCACAAGGTGTGCGAGTGAACCGGTCCAGCCCTGTTTAGTGCGTCATGCCCTGGCTTGTCACACTCAGGACATTACCGCGGGGGTCAGGCTCCACAAGGTGTGCGAGTGAACCGGTCAGCCCTTTTAGTGCGTCCTGCCCTGCCTGGCTTAGTCCACACTCAGGACATTACCGTGGGGTCAGGCTTCCACAAGGTGGTGCGAGTGAAACCGGTCAGTCCTTAAGTGCGTCATGCCCTGGCTTAGTCACATCAGGACATTACCGCGGGGTCAGGCTCCCACAAGTGTGCGAGTGAACCGGTCAGCGCTCTTAATGCGTCATACCCTGGCTTAGTCACACTCGGGACATTAATAGCGATGTTCATGGCCCAATGCGTGTTCCCGCTATTCTGTACTGGTCAGTAAAACCCTCATCAACCATAAGCGCGAGGCCCTTATGAGTACAAGCCCAACACTCCAACCAGCCACAGAATGTGAATTCCCGTCCCCTGCAGCGGACGGCGCGGCGAGCGGTGGCGCCACGGAACACCTGAGGTCAATCGCGTCGGCCGCGCGAGCCGCTGCCACACTGCTGACGGGCGGCGGCCCGCTCTAGCCAGCCGCAGGCCTGAGCCGAGCAGCGGGCGGCTGCCGGGGCTCCCTGTGCCGCTGATACGCGGCTCAGACCGGTGCGCGGAGCCCGGGGGCCGGCGGGGGTGGTCCAGCCGTCTCGGTCCACCCGCTGCCCGGACGAGTGGCAGCGGACAGGCAACAGCCAGCATTACAGCCCGGGCAGAAGGGACAGCAGCTCGACTACGTGACAGACGAGCAACCGTAATAGTGGTAGTAGTGGCAGAGCAAGCGGATGACCCCAGGTCACGCTTCTCTGCACTCGTGCACTTGCTTTTGCTTCTCCGTTCCTGTTTCTAAGCCACGCTGTAAGCCATGTTTGGGACGGTTAGTGACAATATTGTGTCCCCGTGACGTCTGGACGTTTGATCTGGCCGGTCAGCCCCTGAGCCGGCTAGGACACGTGCTACCGCTCCGGGCCGGGGGGCGCGGCCGGCCCCGGCCACCGGGGCCAGCTGGCCACGGGGCGCGCCGTGCCAGAACGCGCAGCAGCGGTGCATGTGCCAGTTCAGTCGCAAGCGAGACGTCTCCGCCGGGGCGAGGAGGTGTCGTCGGCGAGGACCTAGGGGATCTCGCCGATCCCCGCCGACGCTCAGCGGCATCCACATAAGACACGTCTTCGAGGCCTGACCGCCCCAGCCAGCCGAGAACCACCAACAGTGGTGCCATCAGGCTGCCATGAAAACGTGCATCGTCATGCGCGAATATGCAATTCACAATGTCCTCAATCAAGAAAACTAACTAGCTGTGCTTCTTTTGCCTTGGGACCGCAGGGAATGTAAGCGACGTAACTTTCAATAAAAAGCCCAACCTTCGCGGTAATCATGAACACATGGCAACAGCCATTGCACCGGCTCTAGGCGACCCATGTCCACTAAATAATCTCAACACAATGTGGCAGATTACAAACACTGCTATTGCCTGCAGCTAGGCATAAGTCTTGAACGAAGTCTTCAACGCAAATGAACGAGATGACCCGGATTCACGGGCTGTGATGAGAGCACAACATGCCCGCCATATCCTGCTTCCATCACAGGAAAGTATTCCTGCTAAGCCACGGCCCGGCACGAACAGTGCCACGGGTGCACATTGCACACAACGATGCACAGCTCAAAATGGCGCCGCTGCCAGCGAGTCACGCGGCGGCGGTCACCGAGCCCGGCCACCCAGCCCGGTCCGTCAGATCCGTTGCGTTGTTAGTGCAGCGCCGGGTGGGGTACCCACTGCACGCCCGGACTGGACGGCGCTGGACTAAACCAAATAACTGCAAACGGCAGAGAGAAACAACCAGGCGACTCATCGAAGCGCAATGGCCTCACCGGGCGGCTGGATGACGTATTAGAGAACTTCACGGATAATATTTGCACACCCCACCCACCCCACCCGTACCTCTTTGGTACGGGTGGGGAACGGGTGTGCAGCCCGCATGACCATATCCGTGTTCACCCGCCACCAAACCCACAACCGCATTTGTCGCAATGCGTTCCTAACCTGCGAATTTACCCTTTCAGAATAGCCATCTGCAGGTTTTCCCGGCCCATGAAGGCATCCAGGGTAATTGGAGAGGGGTACCACGAGAGCACGCGACAAACGGACAGGACCAGACGGCGTCAGACAGCTGCCAGGCTAGACCGAGCACAGCCCGGCAGGACACGAAGCTGCAGGCTAAACCGAGCACAGCCCGACAAGACTCGAAACACATCGACAGCGCCGGAGATGTCCGACCGGCCGGCCTGAAAGCCAGTGCGCCCCGCCACTGGCCGAGTTCGGCAGGAGGGAACGCTCTGGTGTGGACGCACCTGTAGTACTCGAGGCTGAAGCTGATGGGGTCGGTGAGCGTGTACACAAACTGCTGGGAGCTGACGTCACCACGCCTCTCCGGCGACAGGCTGCGATCTGCCGAAACGTCAAAAACAAAACGTAACTTACACGCGTCCGTTTCATGACGTCCCATCATCAAGCGAAGTTGGTGAGCTCGTAATCACGTGTGTCAACTGTTGTTTGATATCACGACTCAGCTGATGGCATCGCGTAAGCTACGTGGGTAGAACTGTCCCTCTCACTGAGATCTGATCAGCGCACCAATATGCGCCGTGCTGCCTGGCGACGCCATCAATGATGTCGTGCCCATTCTCATGAGCCATGCTTGGTCTCCTGACCGCGGACAGCGATTTCATATCCCAACTGACAGCTGACTAGGACTGCCCCTCCCAGAGCCAACACGTCATGGCACGTTCGCCTAGTTAAGTTCAGTTCTTATGTTGGCAATAATTGATCTTTCACACAAGTCACATCGTTGTGCTGCGCTGCGCTGCGCCCCCCTTCCCCTTAGCAGCAGAGCAATTGAAGCGGACCGGTTATATATAACGTGAGACACAGCATGTACCTAACCTCGACTCCTCAGAGGATCGGAAATAAGCAATCAGTCCCAGTATTTTTACCACCTTTCCGACGCTCATCCGCGCATATCACTGTTACGAAGCCTAGCTCACCTCTCTGAGGGTGGTGAGCGTAGAACTCTCTCCGCCGCTGCATCTCGTCATTGAAGAGGCGCGGCACCAGTTTGTACACCACAGACTGCAGAGTCTGGTCAGGCCTGCGGACGGAACAGAGACAGGCACTCAGATGGGAGGTCACGGAGAGAGAGAAGCGGGGTCAGGCCAGAGTCGGGATGGAGATGGACACTCAGATGGGAGGTCACGGAGAGAGAGAAGCGGGGTCAGGCCAGAGCCGGGATGGAGATGGACACTCAGATGGGAGGTCACGGAGAGAGAGGAGCCGGGGTCAGGCCAGAGTCGGGATGGAGACAGACACTCAGATGGGAGGTCACGGAGAGAGAGGAGCCGGGGTCAGGCTAGAGTCGGGATGGAGATGGACACTCAGATGGGAGGTCGCGGATAACCTTGTTCCAGCTGTGGGATGACGGGAATGACGGTGTCCAGTACGTCAGTCAGCAGCTCCGTCACACATGACAGTGGGGTCCGGGCCACATGAGTATAAAGACTGGCCGTTGTGCTGGAAACCAAACACCAGAACAACTCCGTTTTCCCGGGAACATGCGACATTCCTATTAGGCGCCTCATGGTGTAACGCATAACGCAGCTCCCACCCATCTCACAAGCAGGCAGTCGTTATATTTGCTTCAAATGGTTCCCATGGGTGGAGCTGGCTTCACAGCATTTGCTGCCTGTTGCGTG